AGTAGAAATTTCTCAATAAGTATTATGTTCTATCATTCTATGTTAAATAATCAAAAACCAATATATTTGTTAAAATTTTAATATTATTATCGTTAAAATAACTGTTTGTTAACAAAGTTGACCATCTTCACTCAGAATCATTTTTCATCGTATAGAATGATTTATCATTGAATTTTAATTTAAAACAGCTTTTACGGTGACATACTCAGTGACAAAATACACTTGACATCTATTGAACTCCAGAGCAGTATCCTATTCGACGTTTTTTCAAATAAAAACCAACTTTTTAAATTGTAAATCGTTAAGCAAATAATTTACTGAAAATATTAATGAATTCAAATCAAAATTTTAATAAGCAGTTTAATTTATGATTTGATGTTAAACCTTATAAATATAATTGTAATATGCAACTGTATTAAGCGTAATATGCGTGATATTACCCACTTTTTAGTATAGCTATTAAGGTCATATATATTTTACTTTTAGTATGATGGTTATAATTTTTTCTTGGTTAATGTAATATTGAATTATTATAATAATATACATTTATACCATATTATCATAGTTTATTTAACTTAAAAGTTAATTTTATATTTTTGTAAATATCGTAAAATACCTAACAAAAATAGATCCATCATTTGAATAGATATTATCTTAAGATTAATTAAGGGTGTCTTCGTGTAAAGTAAAATTTATAATTATATACGTAATACACGTAAAAGTTTTAAGTTTTCACGAATAATGTTTTTAAATTATAACAAAATTATTAACATCGTTTTATATTGTTTAAATTGAAACTTAAAATGCGTATAAAAAAGTATAGTGTTAATATTTTTAAACAGATAAAAGAATAACTTATGTGAAATATTGTACTCAATTTTCAAGAATTTTGATCCAGTGAATAATTATTTATCAACATTTTATAAAAAAAAAAAAACTAAAAAAATATGAAAAATGTATATGCCTAAAAATAGCTTAAAATTAGTTAAAAATTGTATTACATAATATATAAACATTTTGTAAAAATTTCAAGTATTCATGGTTATTTGTTTTTGAATTACAATTAAAAAAAGAAACCGCTTGGAAAAAAAATAGAAATTATACAAGTGAATATTTAATATTATAAAAATTTGAAATGCTTATATAAAAAAAATAAATATTGTAACTATAAATTTTCAATAATTTTTAATTGGAATAAGAATTATTTATTAGTATCCTTATATTAATTTTTTGGATTTTTAACATCCTTCATTTTTTTTATCATTATTTATAAAAAAAAAAAACTAAAAATATACAATGTCAATTCTCTAAAAATAACTCAATAAAAGCCAAAATATTTTAAAAATTATACCATACAAAGAAAATGAAAATATATCATTGGTGAAAATTTCAAGTTTCTATGGTCATTCGTTTTTGAATCATAACATTTATAAATAAAAATAATTTTAGTAAAAATGTTCATTATTTTTCAATTTTTTGTTTGTTTATCCCGATTATATAAAAAAAAATACTAGCAATTTTTAAAGTTCAAACTAGATCCAATTTTCTATTTAAAACTACATTCAAAATTGAAAATCTAAGCATTTTATCGACCATTTATAATATATATTTTATACACAAAAAAAAAAAAAAACTATTAAAACAAGTCTATACAAACTTATGTTATTTTGTGAAATTCGATTTCACGAATCAATTTAGTAAATAGCGTGGTTTGTACATATATTATGTTAAATTATTATACTGTGAAAAAGTAAATTATTGTAAGCTTGTAACTTAAAGTATAGTAAATTGTCGCTTATTAAGTAATAATTATATATAATGACCCGTAACTCGTTGCTGTTAATAAATATTGTTCAAACGCATTTTCGTGTTAATCTATATCTTCTTTTAACACTTTGCTGATGAACAGTAAATAATTTACATGTATACTATTGCCACTCTATCAAAATCTGCTGGTAATCGGAAGTTTGCTATGTACAAAAGACTTTAGATTTATTCATCAAATAATAAGTTTGTTTCTTAATAATAATTAATGTATTTATTTATGTAATTTAATTAGCAAGTTTATGATTGTATCAGTATATCATTTTAGTTCTTATGTATATGTACCTATAATTTGAATATATAATGCACTAATATATATATATATCGATAAGATAATAACAATTAACTATTCGTTTTATTTTAATATTAAAAACACTTAAGGTAAAAGATGATTCTTACTAATTAATTATGATTATAAAATATTAGTAGGTAGCTTATTAAGTATGTACTTGGTAGTTAGTTCTAACTTTACTTTAGTTTTGTTATTTAATGGACTTATCAATTTATTTGGGTTTCTCGATGACTGGGACCTTGAAATTATTTTAATATGGTTCGTTGTCGATGAAACCTTGATATTTTTGATAACACTTAAAAATATCATTATGATATAACATTATATTTTATTTATTATAATTCATGATTAATAATAAAAAATGTCTAATTGTTAAATTTTCAACATGAAATACTATTAGATAAGTTTATCTACATGTATGTTTTCCGTTAAGTGAGTAAAATATATTTTATATTTCTTAGCTATCATTTATTAGGGCATAAATATCCAAAGGTACAATGAACTTAATTTGATAATTTTATAATAAATTATTAAATATAGCATAAAAATTAAATGAGCTTGATATTTTGTTAATCTATGTTTAAAATATATTATTAGACACATATTATGAGCGTTCTAAATATTGAGAAACGTGATCGACCATTATTTAAGTATATTTTCCAAGTTCAAATGGACAATCAGTAAAGGTCAGTGGACAAAATTTTTGCTTATTGTCTGTATATTAAAAAAAAAAAAAAAAATGGTAAATTATGCAAGTCTATTAAAGATTTATAAGAAAAAAATCATAGAGGACAAAATTAAAGAATTCTTAGTATTATTCAGAATAAACGTGGAAAAAATGAGAGTATTTACATAACATTAGTTTTTTTATTTTGTAATTAATTCAAAATTTTAAAAACGAATGACAGTTTATAGATACTTAAATTGTTTACAAGATTATTAGCATTTTCTAGATAGTTACATTATTATATTAACAAAATATTTGGGTACGTTCACTTTAAGCTGTTTATAGAAATTTAAAATTGTGGTAAAATGCTTCTTCAAAGTTGTTCTTACAGTAATTTATAAATATCGAAAATACATAAGTAACATTTTCTTTTTTGAAATTCTTTAAAGTTCAAATTTTGACAATCTTAGATATTCTATTTAAAACTAAAGTATTATTTCATTTTTTCATTGTATTAAAAAAAACATTATTGATAGTCACTCGAAACTTATGTATCTACATATATTATTATTTTCAGTCCAAAATAATGGTTTCAAAATATTTAAACTAATTTTAAGCTATTAATAACCACGAACCTATTTTAGCCATTTTACGGTACGTCGCCATCAGTATTGAATATTGAATATTACAACATATTAAATTATAGATAATAAGTAATAGAGATATGATATGATATAAGATATAATAATATAATAATTACCTAATAGATAATATAATATCTACGCGATGAAATTTTCAACTATGGTTCAATTAACCGTATTAATTTGGAACATATTTGTAACATAGATATTTTTACAAATTGCTAATAGTACCTAATACAGTGAAAACTATGAAATACAGACCTTGATAAAACGGAAAACTATCCAATACTGAATTTTTCTATGATCCCGGTATGTTCCTATAACTTTATATAGATGTCGAATCTCAATAAAACGGAATGGTTTTGTAGGTCCAATGCAAGTATCACAAGCTAATATTTTTATTTTTCGTTGTTTAATTATTCATTCATATTTTATGGTTCGATCAAATGCATTTACCTATGCATGTTAGCACCTATGGACTACAGCTAGTATCTACTACAATAAGTTTTTTCACTATTCTACAGTTACTCATTAAAAATTATACATATCATATAAGTAATATAAATAACAACGTTTTTATGTCGTGAGTTAAAATTAGAATTTTTTTCAGATTTTTAAAACTGTTTACCATACGAATAATCATTATCAATTACTACAAAATATTATATTGCAATGATGTATGATAGTATAATAAATTAAGTTTTTTCTGAACAATTGTTAGTGATAAGACCACATAGTTTGGATGATTTCTAGTATTTTATCTATTATAATATGGAATTATCTGGAAAGATGATTAGGTTTGTTATTCATTAATATTATAAATGGAGGGGGCGAACACATAGTAGATAGTATTCCCATAAAATTTTTTTGAAAGTGATTATCATATTAAAAACAGCAAGTCCCACGCTATATAAAAATTTAAAACATTATAAAAAAAAAAAAAATAAAATTAATAAAAATATTAATTTAATATATATTATAGAATAATAATAAATTTAAAATATTATAATAATAAACTGTCATAAAAAGATAAGGCATTAGAGAATACAATTAAGATAAACTAATAACTGAGAATAAATTATTCAGTGGATCACAAAATGTCATATTTAATTTTTTCATGAGATTTTATAGGCATTGCTATAGTGTAAACTTAATTTTAAAGATTAAATTAAGAAGGAATTCTGGAGGTTGAATTATAGATATAATATATATGTGTAAATTTAATGCAAATAAATTATTGTTTTTTATTTTTTTACTTTATTAATGATGAAATTGCCTGAAAAAAAAATGTATAATCTGAATAAGATTAATTGTATAAATTTTTATAATTTTTACTAAAATTCATTTAATTATATTGAGTGATATAGCAACCTTATACAAACCTTGCTGACTACCTAAGTTTATGTGACAATGTGGGGATGCTATATCAAGCAAAATATTTTAACTGTATATACTGTGACCTTAAATCATAAAACATTAATTAAATTTATTTAGAGTTAATAAAATAAAATAGTAAAATAGAATTTGTTATAATAATAAAACAATATATTTATAAAAATATTTTAATTTAACATAATTAAAAATTTTACAACAATAATCGGATACTTGGTAAAAAATAAAATTCAATAAATAAAATATACTTTATGGTGAAGTTTTGTCGGTTGAGGTAGGTGTATGACTTTTTGGTTCCTTTTCAAGAACAGTTTCTATTAAATTTTGTAATGTCTGAAAATTGAACAACTAAAAGATACATTCACTTATAAAAAATTTACTACATGAAGTGTATCATAAAATAATTGAATACAAAATTTCATACAGAAAGAATAATAGAATAAAATATTCAGTACAAAAAAATACTATTATTATCATATTATATACAGTAAGTCTACATCAAAGAATACATCTTATGCATTTTTAAAATATATATTGAATTTATTTTTAATTTCAATTATCAAAAAATAAATGAAAATTATAAAAAAATATTCACCTGAGGTTTACAATGTTCTTCAAGCCAACTGAAGACGCAAGCAGATAGTTCAGTAAAATTGTTAACATTAATATTACAAAATGTAAAAAACAGTTCATCAATAATATTCTGAAACTATAAAATACAATTTTTATTAGCTACAGAAATAATTAAATTAAGATGGCTTAAAGATTAAATTAAATTAATTATTATACATAAACCAGAGAAAGAGAAAGAGACTGAGAATCAAAAGAATCAAATCATACCTATAAAATAGACCCATATTAGATTGTTAAGATGATATTGTTTATACAGGTAAAATTATCAATAGCGAAAATTAACCATATATAAAGTACAATATTTAAGTTTAAATTTTAATTGAAGGTAGATAACATAATATGTTCTAATAGGATTTAAAAGATAAAATAAAAGATTCCAGAGTAATTATTCAAATGTTTAAAAATGTATAATGAATTTATAGGTGCTCATTATGTATTATTTTATCTTTAATTAAATACATGTAAATTACATTTTAGTAAAAAAATGTTTTTAAATCTATTTGTAATAGTTATAATTACCATTTGAAATTTTTCTTCATCAGGTATCCTAGTTTCAACGTGACCCATTGGAATTTGTTGAGCTTTTACCATTTGCTCATAATTAGCTTGCATAATTCGTAATGCAACTACTTCTTTTCGTAAAGCATTACGTTCTTCTTCTAATTTTTTCTTTTGCAACAGTAAATACTAGTGAAATTAATGAAATAAATAAATATTAGTATTTGGCATATAAATTATACATGTTTATTGTTTATGTGTGTGTATAATATAGTAAGTAATAAAAATTTATAATTATGACATATTATATTGATTTGTATGATAAATAATTTATAACAATGATTAAGTATTGTTATCTTAATGTATGTATGTATATATATATATATATATATTCCTTTAAAATATTAAGTAAATTTAAATTGTATGGACTTTTTTTTATCTTCCAAATCGTCTTTAGAATTTTATTTTTAAGTTATATTGAATTGTTTAAAATTACTTGTATGTAATCTATGGACTTTTGTAATACTGTTGCTTTGCTCAGTTTATAACCACTACTATCAGTTTGCTGACAAGTTGGTACTAAATCTTGTAAACAATCATATCCTTTTTTTATGGCATCACGACGTTTTTGTTCAGCTTGGGTATGAGCTTCTCGTCGCCTCTCTTTGTAATTGTTTGGGGAACCTTTTTCTTCACTATCATCATCTTCTACAAACATAGAAAAGCAAGTAAAAATAAGACAACTAACAACAAAAATAATAAAATTTGATAACGATAAAAGATGAAAAAAGGCAAGCTGCTAAGTAAATAATGCTTTAGTTTTAAATATTTAAAGAAAGAATGAAAACATAGATATGAAGTTTTGGAAATTATTAAGATTCAACTTACAATCTTATTATACTCCCTCATCGGTATACCTATAATTAATTATGAAGAGACACCCAGTTATAGACTGTGATATTACTGACATCGACAATCCAGATGGGCCAATTCTCTCATCCTACACTAATGTATACAACTCATCTGGTATAAGTTGTTTATACCGAATTCTGCACATCGGGATTACTGGCAACATAATTAAAATCATGGTTAAGTATTATATAGTAATATTATTAATTTAACTACGTCCATTATGAAAAATTTGAGAATTATTGAATAAAAATGTACATAACATGGATGTATGCTCTAGAAAATATACCTATTGGTTCTGATATAATAATATACATAATTCAAAACTCAAAAATTCTTTACATAATTTAAATACATATTTCTAATATTTATTTAAATTTAAAATTAAATAAATACATAAAAATAAATAGGCTTAATTTTACAACTTGCCTACAAAGTTTACTTGTTATTTAAATACATACCATGACCACTACTACTACTATGGTTTCCAGCATGTAGAGAACTTCCACTACTAGATCGACTAAATGGATTTGGATTTCGTACAGGACTAGATGGTTCAACTTTCATGTCTAGAAATTTAAGTAAATGTATATTTATAATTAGTAAGATATAAATTCTTAGATTAAAGTAACATAAAAATATAGATGTTTTACCATCACTATCCCTAGAATCCATTATTTCTTTTTAATGATTGCAATGCATCCAGAATTTTATCAATCTAAAAATAATAATACACCTATTAATATTATTATTATATTTTAGTTAGGTATAATATAAAACTTGAGTATAGAAAGAAAACATAATTTTAATTTTTATGTTAGGTAACATTAGAAGTGTTCATATAATATTGGTACTATGAAATACAATGACAATTCTGGGTATAACTAATATAAATGAAAGAAACTATTTGTATGAAAAGATAAAATATTTTTTGACAGCAATATAATATTTCAAATATTTTTATAGCTTCAATATCAATTAAATTTGTTTAATTATTATTTAGTGTAAGCTTAATTATTTGAACAATTAAAATATATTTTATTAAAATGTCAAAATAAAACAAAGTTAATAATGCTACAGACTATAGTTATTGAGAATATTATTTAGTTAAATAAAAAAAAAATAAAAATTAGAAAAATATAACATATTGAACTTATTCAATAATATCTAGGGCAAATAATTATATTAAAATGGAAATTTATATATACAAAATGTACACATTTGTTCTTTAGTTGACAAGATCCACAAGACTATGTACAATATATATTACTAATTTACTATTAATCAATTTAAAAACTGTTTATTAGCCATATGTTGATGTGCTTGTAAAATTTCTGGGGTAGTATTTGTGCCCTACACTCTCTGGAAATATAAATTTTTTTTAATTGAACTGCTTATAAGTCCAGTTTTATATTTTTGTTTGTTTATGAAAAGTCTGATATTTTTCAACTGAAGAGTGGTATAATAACAGACGACAACAAATGGACAAAAATTAAATTACTAATTAGTGTACAGACTCCTATAATTTATAATGGCCTTGGTTACCACCATGTACAGTATTGAATTGGAATTTATTTATTTTTTTAATACTGAATTGAGAAAAGAGAATATATCTAATTATAATTCCCGTCATCACAAATAATTAATAGTAGCAGAATTTAACACTAAGAACACCCATGTGTTACACTTATTAATTTTTTTTTTTAATTATAGCTTATAATACAAATTAAATTGCACTCAATAAACAATTGAATAATCGCTATCATTATGCAGATAAAACAAAAAAATATCATTTACCAATCCCGGAGAGTTTGTCCGTCATTCCGCCGGTGACAATAACCGGCGACTCATTCGCTATGACACTCGAAGTCGGTGTCTCTCTCCTCTTACCGAGGGGGTGCCGAGAACGTCGCCGAAAACGAAAACGAAGTAATGTGAAAGAGAACGGCAATAACGAGTAGTAATAATTCGTACGCTGAGAAACAGTTAAATTTAACTAACGTTTAAAATTGTTTATGTGCGCTGCATTGATCGGTAGCGTCGTCGCCACGGCGTGTTTTTTAACGAACGTAACAGCACGACCGCCGTCCGTCGGGAAATGGATAGAGAGGCATAGTATATAAGACGCGGTTACGTACGGCTGTACTATAGACGACGGCGGCGGTGACGAGTCATGGCGGTTCGTCGGAATAGGAAACGTTCACTACGTCTTCCCGGCTTTGATACGAGACTCGGGATGATAAAAAAATATATTAATATTACTCATTAAAATAATATTATAATAATAGTTGTAATATCGTTTGTAAATTTGCGATTGCGATAATAATCGTAAATGGTAATGATTATCGACTCTTATCGCACCACTGTGTCCTTGGGCGGAGGAGAGGGATACCGGCTAAACCACCTGTAAAGTCGAGACGTTCGGCTCGCGGGATATCGACACGCTGATGATAACGAAACGCTGATAACAGTTATTATTATTATTATTATTATTATTACTGTTATTGTTATTATAATAAATAATTGTTGTCGTCGATGGAATTATTGGGAGGACGATCGCGGACCGCAGTATTGCAGTTTCGTCCTTTCGTGTCGCTCTATGAAATAATTATATAATTATTTATAATAACGATTAAATATACTAAAAAATATACGTTTTCAACAAGACTATTAAACTACATAATATATTCCCTATGCCTTATGAGTACAATAGTTATTGTAGTCAGTTATGGACTTTGGGTAGTTATAAATACTCATTATAATCGAGTACTTATTTTCTGTACTCATTAGGTATTAATAATTATTTAAGTTTAAAAGACCAACAATAAATGACCAAAAAATGTTCTTTTCTTTTTATAATATTATTTTGTTTATGGATTCACCGGTTCACCATAATATTAATAAAAGTTAAATTTTGAAAAAAAAAAATTATTTTTAATTTGTTTTAAAATCTTTCTTTTTAAAGAGAAGTTTTAAAAATTTTTCATAAACGCGTACTACAGTTTAAAACTAGCTTCAGTATATCGCAGGTAAACAATCGCGAACTTTATTTTGGTTTAACATAATCTGTCAAGTATTCATTCTTTATTTTTCTAAACTTTTATATAATATGTATTAATTAGATTTATATTTTCTTTGCGAAATTAAAACAATTTTTGAAAAAAATAACGTATTGTTTAGTGCGAATAACACAAATTAGAAAACTATACTTATAAAATTGAATTTCCCACAGTAGAAAAATTAATTAAAAACTTACAACAGTTAAAAACATATTATTAAAAGTTTGCTCATTAGGTAATATTAATATAATGTATAGACAAATTTAAGAGAATGTAGGTTCTTATTCAGATTTGATTTTCTCATGGTAAACATACAGCAGTGTACTATAACCATAATGACCTACTTACTAGTAATTATGTCAGATAGTGATTAATGCTAAGTGCCAATTGGCCATAAAATACTATAATAAAAAATTTCAAAAAGTTAAAGATGATCCATAAACCATTAATCAATCCTATTTCTTATTATCTGCTATAGCTTCTTATTACTTGCGTATAATAGTATTTTTTGAATATTATTATACCTAAACCAATTTTTTATTATCAAATATCTATTTTGTTTTTAAATATTTAATAGTACGTTAAATACCTAATTTTTACATAGCTTGATGCTTTTAAATAAATTAAATGAAGAAACAATAATATTATGAGTTTTACAATTAAAAGAAGATTAATTATAGTTTTAATGTGTTTTTATAAATTATTATTGTTCTACAGTTCTATCTATAGATAACTTGGATGACTAGTTTCAGATACTTATAATCTATATGTACACAATGTTCACATAATTTATTGCTGTTAAAATATTTTGTACAAAAATACTCTATAAACAATACTGGTACCAGTATTGGAATTAATTAAAACAAATTATCTAGTTATGTTGTGTCATTCGTTTATATCTTTTTTTTAAATACGGTGATAAGCGTATTATAGTTTAAAAAAATGTATGTTGATGGTATTATAGTATATAGGTACCTACAACATGTAAATATAATTAGCTTGAGTGTTTATACGCTGTGGCATATACATAACTTTTGTAAAGAAAAGATTTAGAATCAATGAAACATTTTTATATCTGTGTAAAAAAAGGCGTTTTAAAGGCAAGTGAGTACCAATTTACTGTACATTAGATGTCGAGTAGGTAATTTTAATGGGTGTATTAAATTCGAATTCAATGATAAATCATTGTAAACGAAAAACGATTGTAAGCGGATACGGTTTGCGGTTTATCAGTTCCAAAACATATTTATTAAATTTTAACATACAATATAGGTAATAAATGTAATGTTTAAGTACCTACCTACTTATAATTTATGAGTATTACTATTGTTATTAATTTTTGAGAATACTACCTTACCGAGAATACCGTAAAACAGTGTTAATAGATTCATAGAATAAATAGCTTATAACATCATAAAATTAATTAATATTGGTACTTTCAAAAATTTTATTGAATACCTATAGTAAAATTAATGGTATACTCGTATTTAAATGTTTAAATTCCTACGAACAATATTTTTTGAATTATAACAAAATAATTAACATCGTTATTCATGAATCAAATATATATTTTCGTCCAAATTTAAATTTTAAATATTTACATAATCATAGTTGTGGTTATATATTTTTTTAATTTTTTTAGTTCCACTTACCTAACTAATCTAACTACTTACAAGGAACTGTGTTTATACCTTTTTACTAAAAAATATTTGTAACTTGTAAATTTTTATGATTTTGTATACATTTGAACTTTAAATATTAAATATACATAAAAAGTTGTATCTATGTATTTTATAATTATTTTTATATGCATAAATATAAGAAGAATTTATGTAGAACCTAGCATTAAATTTTCAAACATTTTATCTAGAAAATAATTTTTTTTTTATTTATTGACATTTACAGTAATTGACAGAGTTGAAATATTTAAAATATATATATAATAGAAAATTACAATTTAAACATTTGGTGAAAAATCCAAATACATTGTTGGTTATTTGTTATCAAGATACAGTTTACACCAAAAAACCAAAATCGATTTCGTCAAAAATTTGATTTATGAAAAATTCTCGTTTTTTCTTATGTATTTTTATTTTTCACAATTAGGTACTTTGTAAAATACTGTAAATTTTAACCTTTTTAAAGTACCTACTTACAAACTAAATCTAATTTTCTAACTAAAACCACACTCAAAGTTGAAAATCAAACCATTTTTTTCGACTATTTTTGTATATACTGACACATACAAAAAATCAAACATTGTAGAGTCAATACTTTATTACTTTGCTAAGAATCTAAAAAAATAAGTGATGTACGCCTATATACTACTTTAACGATTAAATTATAAAACTATTTTTTTTTTCTACCAATTCGTCGATTACTCCTTTAGTAATATTAGGAACATTATGTTTTACTATCATTGCAAGGACTCAATTGACTAATACAAGTAAGTTTATATCTTGAGTGTTGAGTGTATTATAATTTTTAATAGCTGTGTAAGTATGTATTAAAGCAAGTTATACTAAATGAAATTCGTATTTATTTTTATAAGTAAACTATGTATTTTAATGAAATAACTAAATTTTTTAATGAATATGAACAAAAAAAAGATTATATATTTTAAATAACATGTTTCAACATTTCTTACAATTTTATAAGAACAAAAATGTGATGCGGGATCTATTAGTTGATCAAGAGATCTTGTTAGGTAATAATGGACATAATATAGCCACATTTCATAGGTAATTGCTTGCTTGATGTAAGTAATCATGTGTAGTTAGTGATTACACACTATGTGAAATACAGCTTACAGAATAATATTAATGTATTATTATTTATTAAAGTATGATTTAAAATTTTCATATAGTAGTATGAACAACCATCCAAACTTCGTTATCTTATCGCATTCATAGTTATTTATTCCTATGAATAATTTAATATTTCTTACCATAAGCGCATTTGAGTGGTTATTCCTTACTCCCTGTCTTAACCCCCTCCCCCCTCCGTAAAAAAATATTTATAATTAATAAAATCATTAATATTATATAATTTATATCACATAACAATTTTTAAAATTATTAATTTATAGAACATTACCAATGTTCGTATATACTCTGCTTTTTTACATTATTTCAATTGTAATGCAAGTTATGAACGAACATGTAAATATATTACAATATTTAAAAATGATTATTTTGTACCAAAAAGATGGAAATATCGTAAAAATATAAAAGCTAATGTTTATACACAGAAAATAAGGATTATAATTGATAATAATAATTTGGTATATTATTGCTTTCATAAGCGCTGGTTCAGCAGAACGTACTCTTAGATTATTATTTATGTCTCACTTTGAATAAAGAGAAAAAATAATACATTATACTAACATACTAAAGAACGCAATATTTAATTATTTATCCATAAAAATGGTTTTGCATTAGATAAACTTACGTAGACAGTATTCGCAGTAGGCTTGAGTGCAAATTTTTTTTAGAAATTTATGTTAAACGTTTTTATTTTTTTGATAACTATTAAAGACAATTTTAATTATTTATTCGTAAATATTCTTTTTTTTCATATGATTATTAAAAATTATTAAGTTTAAATTAAAAAAAAAATTAAAAACGCTACGATATAATAAAATTCTCTTTTACAAACAACATAAACATTTGGTAAATCTACTGTAAGTATTCTACTTGTAGGTAATTCATAAGTTTTTCAGTTTCTTCTTCCATTCGCGCAAAACCGTTTTTCTATATTATAAATTATAATATTATAATTACGCAACAACCATATTATGATGGTGTCTATTTTTTTAGGAATTTATTCCAATAATGGTTTTTTTATACATAAAAAATAATAAATAATAATAATAATAATAATATAATAATAAACAGTTTTTCATACGGTTGTTTTATTTTATTGTTATTTTTATTAATACAATTTCAAAATAATATAATGATGACATAATGTATTATGCTGTTGAGCTATTTATTTTATTGAATAAAAACATCGTTTTATTAGTTTAAGTAAGGAACTTGATATATCAGAAAGATCTGAATCTATTTCAATTTTAATCATATTATTATACCAATTACTAGTATAATAACACGGTAAAACATAAAATAACATTTGATATTGTTTGGTCTATAAAAATTTTTATCTATAGTTGAGTCATACGAAAATAAAATTTATATTATAGATATTGATATTATGCAACTAAACAATTTAGAAAACACAAAATAGTTGTAAAACCATGATAAATGATTATAGAAAATAGAAATTACTGAGGATAATCTAATAAATAATAATTATATGATAACAGTATTACACGCATTTTATAAAAAAACAATTTTTTTATTAGTTATGAAATAATAAAATAATTTAAATTAAGTAACTTTTTAGTCAAAATACGGTACACATCTATAAATATTCTGTTATAATTTGGCCGATGACCACGTTATAGTTTATTTTGACCGTTTTTGAAAAATAAAAAAAAAATTGAATACATACTAAGTACAAGGGCGATAAAATCGCTTAAAATATGTAAAATAAACATCACAGAGATACATATTGATTAATATCCTCCGTTTTTGGGTTGAGGTGCGGCGTAAGATCCCTTAACACCAGTTGAGTAGCTCGGGGCAGATGAAGGGAAACCCGGTGCCGATGAAGGATAACCAGGGGCAGTAGAAGGATAACCAGGGGCAGCTGAAGGATAACCAGGGGCAGAAGAAGGATAACTAGGAGCAGCAGAAGGATAACTAGGAGCAGCAGAAGGATAACCCGATGCCGACGGATAACCTGGAGCAGCAGAAGGGAAACCCGATGCGGACGGATAACCAGGGGCAGCAGAAGAATAACTAGGAGAAGCAGAAGGGAAACCAGGTGCGGACGGATAACCTCCTTGGCTGCCGGGTTGAGCTGGTTGTGGTTTTGCTTCACCTTCATAGTTGACCTTAGCGTTGTATCCGTTTTCGTCGGCTGTGTACGTTACCACTTGATTACGACCGTCCGGCAAAAGTACGCTGTATGCTCCAGTCACTCGTTTGCCATCACTGTTTGCTTCGTGCTTGAAGTCTGTGTTGGTGGGTGCATCTTTTACTTGATAAGCAAAATTGAATGGCTCTGGCTACATTAAGGCAGATAAAAATGTTATTCAGATAATAAAAACTTAAATCTATCACTAAAGTCAACATTTTAACTATGTTTTGCAGTTTATGTCAATAGATATAAGATATAACCTATATTCATATTGTATTTACGTATAAACTTATAGGTAATTACTAATATATTAGCTATACATAGTATATTAGTTAATAAATCTGTGTCTGAATTTAAAAATTTTAACTTAATACTGATTCGTTCGTCACTGTTACTTGTGTATAACATCAAAATAAAATGATAAAAAACTGTACCATTCGACTAAAATCTTGTATAATTTACACTATGCATTAACCCATTTTTTACAAATGATGATGGGATAATTTATAAATTTAATAGACGATTGTTTAAATAGCAATAATAGATAGCAATTATTAAAAGAGGTAGGTAAGAAAATAAGTCATTAAAATGTTTAGGTGAACATGTACCAGGCATTAATTTTACAGGTAAAATCTACCTACAGCAACGTTAACTGTACAGGTCTTACAAAACAGTTACTAAAATGAAAAATACACATTAAACACGATACCTTAATGTGTTAATGTCATTTTAAAATATGAGTTAACACTTATAAAGTTTATTATACTTACAGTTTTCTATTATTTTCACGGGCCATAGGTAGGCACTTAAAAATAAAATGATTTGGTAATTTTCAAGTTGTGACACATCACAGTTATTCAATTGTTATCACACCCTTTATTATTGTTATTCCATTTTAAGTCAAGTATAATTTGTGAAGGGCATCTTTAATAATTATAAGCCTATCACCAATAATTAATACTGATTTTCCTATGATTGAATAAATTGACTTTATTACTGTATAGTTTTGATAAAATATAATGATAATAAGTTTTAACGTCCTAATTTATAACATTATATTTTGCGATTAATATAATATTATCTTTATAGTAGTATTGTGACGCTAATAATTATCATCTACACTATGTGTATCATTACAAAACGTTATAATTATAACTAATAGGAATAAAAAAATACATATTTTTAAATGATAATTGATAAGTAACAGTAATTTTATGGACTTCTAATAAATACGTATCTTGTACAGTTTATTGCTGTGAATTGAATATTATAAACTAATTTCGTAAAATTAAACATTTTAAATAAAAATAAAAAATAAAATCTTTATGGGAGTACTTATTGGTTTCAATGATTTATGGTAATCAATAGTTTTAAGTAAATTCTATTTAAAAACTATATAATTATACCAAGATACAATGCTATAATTAATTCAATTGAAAATATTTCTACTCATATAATATGAAAATATCCGAGTACTTGACGGCTGACACCATTGTTTATGGTTAACTACCATATTATAACAATACCTATATTGACGTGGGCACACATATTAATATTTTGTTATGAAATTTATTTGCATTATGTAAAATTATGATTAGTTATGCCAATAGTAATGACTTATTGTGAAAATATAGTCTGTATTAAAAATTAAAATACAATATGCATAAAAAATATAAACATAAAACTTACTTCTGAATTTCCATCTGATCCACTACCTCCTCCGTTGAGGTTTTGGCCTTTGTGTCCATAATCTCCTGACGGAACAGCACTTGAACCTGTACCACCATATCCAGGATTGCTGTTGCCAACAGGACTACCATATTGAGCACAGACGAATGATGTTAAAAACACATTCAAAAGTAAAGTAATAATGACCTAAAAATACAAAAGAGTAATGAAAACATTGTATTTAGTCTTAGTTGTGTAAGTATACAAATGTATACACATTTATAAGTCAAATCATTCATATATTAACTAGTTCAGTAGTGTACTGTATAATTAAGTTAAAATAATAAAATATTAAAATAGTATTGTGTTAAATATTTTATTACTTATTAAGTTTATTAATATTTTATTCGTATATTTTTAGATTAACTTTAAGTTAATGTATTAAAAAATAAATAAAGTAATAGAACCACTTTGAATGGCAACAAACAATTTTATTAAATTAATTTATGTAGATGTTAACTAGATACTAAATAATTATCATGGAAAGAATCTAATTTTATGAAATTACACATTTTTAATATCAACAAAAATTATGCACCTATTTAACTTACAACGTTTTTGTTTTATTTACAATATTTTTCAGGAAGTATAAAATATTTGGAAAAAATTAAATTGGTATCTATAAACAATGCATTGTAAAAATGAAATCATGTGTGGGTACCTATTGTGTGTTTAATATTTTGTAAGTATGTGAATTATAGAAAAATTATAATATTGTATTATAAAGAGTAAGGACAAATGAATGACGAATCAGAGGTCACAATTTGTTTTTATAAAATAGTGAAGATGCACTGACTCATATATGGCAACGAAAAATAAGAAAAAGTATACTTTATTCTATGTCAAAAACTATATTTTATATACATCATGAATAACTACGGGCACGTATAGTGTAGGTGGGTACCAAATAAAATAAAATGTTAAAAATAGTAATGAATAATGTTTAAAAGACTCCTTACTTTACATAACAATTTCTAATCAAATTTATTAGTATTGTTTTGTATTGTACTAAATAGTACTATAAGTTCCTATAAATTACAGTATATTTTGATGAGTAAATATTCAATATATAATTTAAAAAGTTATTTTATTTGGCTTTAAGACCATATTATGGATATATATTTATGCTATTCTCTATCTTACAACTTTACAAGGTTTAAATTATTATCGTATTAAATACCTATGCGTTGGAGAATTGAATTTACTGCAGTAGGCTAAAATAATAATATTTAGATACTGAATAAAACTGTAATGGCTTGCATAACAAAATTTTTATACATTTTCACGAGATTAGAAAAATTTAAATGTTGTTATTTATAAAATTATGATTTTATTACAATAATATAATGAACTTGAAAATAATTGAACAAAAAATATAAGATCGAAATTTAAAATATAATAATACAAATTTTATCCAAGTTGTTTAAGATAGTAACTAAATATTTTATAATAATATAAAAATCATAAAAGTATAAGATATTATACAGATTAGTTGTGCGCATTTCAATATTTTATACTTAGGTACATAGGTATAAAAATATTTGTTTTGAATATTAAGTAGTATTTTAATGAAATATGATGTACTAGGTGTTACTATTTATTAATTTAATCTATAAAATAATTTAATAATAAAACATAATGTAAAATTTTAATAGTTTATCACTTCATTTTTTTAAATGTTGACAAAAAAAAAAAATACTTAACTTAACTCTTACCTAACTTTACTTAAATTGCGATTGTGAATTATTAATGCTGAGTATTATAATAATAGCTTAATATTGTTTTTAGTAACTAATGAAAAATTAAAGTGAAATCTATAAAAAATTATGTATAATATATATTAGGTACATAAGTACACACAAGTACATAATACACATACAAAATATATAAACAAATACGCGGTATGCACTGGCGATTAATTATTTGTTCAATAAAAAAAAAAAAAATATATTTACAAAATATTTCATTATCTTTTAATTTTTTATCCATCAGATAGTTGGATAAATACTAGATTAAAAATAATCATATTATTATTGTTATATAGTATCACATAAAGAAATACTAAACGCACTCGAGATTTATACAAAGTAGATTAGAATAAATCTATTATTCGTTTATTAGATATATTTATATATATTTTTATATATACTTTAGATACTTATGAAATGTAATTTTAAAATTTTTATAGACAATTGGCAATGATCGTCATAAAATTATTATACACTATTATTATGGACAAATTTAATTATATAATAGTTTCTATACAAATTAGTTTAGTAGATACTTCAGTACTTGTAAGCATACTGAAAGTAAAATAAATGTCAACTATTAATTATTTTTAGATTTAATAAATAGTCTTAAATCATTATTCGATATAATTAGACACCAAATAGCTGTAGATTTGGATATTTATTGTTCGTAAATATTTTATTAATAAAAGTATTCAATAATAATATTTCAAAATATAAAAAAAAAAATTTAATAATTGAAAATTAAAATGGTTATTTAATAATTTATCAATTTGGTGATATTTTAAATTTTAACTGAGCTAGATGCTTACTGTAAATATTACTAATGTACTATTTTGTTTTCAATTATTATAATATTACATTTTTAATTAAGTTAATGTGAAAAATAAAATATAACCAAGAATGAATTGTCTAATTAAACGTAATCGTATATAGGTAGATATTACACGTGTTGTAACATGCTACAGTTTCATAATATTTTGAATACTTAATATGAAATGTCGAAAATAAAATATGATTAACGATTATGCTAACGAATAGATAATAATAAATTTTATATTTTTTTGTAATATAATTTTATTCGATGCATAAAACATTTGTAATGAGTATTTTAAATGTCATCCATTTGTATTATAAATTCACACAATATTATTATAATGGTGTAAAATACTTATTAAAATAATAATAATAATATTATCAGTACTCATATAAGTAGGTATTAATTTAATCTCAGTATTGTACGGGTAAATAAATATAATCGTGTTTTTCGCTTACCTTTTGTTGGCTCATGGTAATGTGGTCGATAATATCAAAGTGTGAAACGTTGATATAAAAATATATTTACACGAGACAGACGATAGTTACGCACACTGGAATAGTTATAAACAGCAACGGAGTTGGTATTTTTCCCGTTCGACGGCACTATCACAAATGATTTACTTTGATTGCAGCGGGACGTCTTATATAGTCGCCAGCGGAGTGCAACTGAAATTAGCATACGATGTAAGATCTAGGTTGTACAAAAAAAAAAAAAAAGACCGAGATGGCACTGGGTTAGTTCATCTATATAATCAGCCCCATTCATCGTCTGATTCCAATGATGTAATATTGCTCCATGCAACTACGATACTAAACTGAGGTCAAGTGTCATTACCGGAGGCAGCGTCGTGATCTTCCTAGTAACGATTGGTTATTTATCGCAACGGAAACACGCCGCGATGTTACGTATGGACTTGGAGTAAAATTACATGTGTACTTCGTGGTGCATGATTCATATAATAATAATAATAATAATAATGATAAATACTCCAGAAAATAAATATGGGTAAACGTCAACGCCGCGCCGTGCGCTGAAGGTAAAAATATTGCGATTAAATGTGTGCTTATTATGTCCATTATGTTAAGCGTATTGAATCGGCGATAAAGTGCCGACCAAATGAAATTATTGCTTATAAACACGCCATCGGTCTTGCAGTATAATAATTTTATATAAATACCGTTTTACGGGGCAATCGAAAATACAAATATAATATACAATATTACAAGAAATAATAATATAATCGAGATAATCATGTCGGTAAGTGTTACGCAGCTGCCTCGATCCGTATTATTATCTCACTGCAGTCCGTTCTGATGTGGGAGAACTAGAAGAGCTATAGGTGGACATTATTGTGATGTATCGTTTCCACGGAACGAACAGAAAAATCACCAATTGATCCAGCTAAGTACGTCGGTGTCTATTGTTATTATTTTCATGGTAAATCGTTATCCCTTAGGCTTCAGATGCAAACATCGATAATAAAATATAATTATAATTTCGAATTTCAACTCTAAACATACAGATGACGCAAGCCGAACATGATAACATTATTATTCGTCAAAGGTACGAGATATTTGTTCAAATTAAGCACGATAAAACCTTGTCTGACTAAATTTCGCCGCCAAAATAACATGATGTTCATCTTTCTGTATAAAAAATTAATAGTTTTTCGTGCAATTCGTGACCGTTAATAGCCGACATTGGGTGTGACCTGGAATTCTTATTATTGCCAAACTTTATTTATTTGTAATTAACTTAATATTAGACACAACGTGTACATTTGTACAGGAATACTAAATAGTCAGTATGGACCCAACGGGTTTTAATTGAATATTTTTTATTTACGATAAAATCGTATGTATGTCAATAACAACATTTTTATTTGCATTATTTCATTTTTAAATCCATTATTTGTATAATATTAAGAGATTTCAGTATACGTAATGATGAATCAGAGATGTCTAGACAAATTACTATAGTTGGTAGTTGGTACAGGTAGGCACTCATGACCATAATTACATAAAGATTAGAGGCGGTACACATTTGTTTCATTCTTCAATTGAAATATTATGTTTTCAAGGTAAGTTCAAAAATACTAGGATAACAACATTTAAAATTATTTTAATACATTTTGAAAATGATTTTTAAATGAACGCTGAATAGAAACCATTTCTCAGTTCATGGAGCTCAAACTTTTTTTCGGTGGTTATCCATTCATATAAAACAATTAGACAACAGTAATTATTATTATTAAAATAAATATTATTCCTATATGAATTTGGCTCATTTTAAAATTCAAAGATAAAAAATGTTTTATTTTTTGAAATAAAGGTTTAATAAATAATAATTGCATAAGTAGTACATAACTAAATTTTAAAATAATCACGTTTTTTTAGATCTGTTAGTATGTTTGAATATGAGTTAAGGTACAATTAATAATTAATACTCACTTAGTATTTTTAAATTAAAACAAATAATATTTGACTTATTACTATTATTTATGCACATAACCAATAATGATGGTTATCTTGGTATTATCCCAATGTAATAAGTTTTTGAGCCCATCTGTTAAAAATAAAGTACATTTATATTGAATCTATTCTTGTAAAACCTACCATTTATTTAAATATAATAACTAGTTATAGACAATAGTTAAAACTTTAACAGCGGATGAAATATTTATATTAAAATAGAAAAACAAAATACGTATATGAATTTACTATACCTATGTAGATATCGAATATATTAGGTACCTATAAATAGTAAGTTGCCAAATGTTATATTACAGATTAAATGTAATAAAATACTTATAGATAGGCAGATAACTATTTTAATACTTATTAATACCTAATGGATTATTGATATTTACATATTAAATACCTTAGTTTTATTTTTGTAAACTTGATTTAATAATTAACTTAATTGTTTGTTTTTGTTTTATAACTGTCTATTAGAACAGCAGTTCTTAACCTTTTATAGATCACGAACCCCTGATCAAAAGTTCTTAGAAATCGCGTATCCCTTACCAATTTTTTTTCGAATACCTTTTTGTTTTTACAAAACATTTCATGTTATTATAACCAAATTTATAATAATTATTTTATTTTAAAAATTACATAAGTATACATCACAAAATATACACATCTATAATTATTATTAATACACTTAATTTTTCATAAAAAAAAAAAGTATTGTAAATATGATAAAATTGGACTATCTCGTTATATAATTAGATATATTATATATGAAAAAAAAAATAAATAAGAATTCAACAATAAAGTAATAATGCACTCATGTCATGTATTGACCAATGTTATGTGTTAAGGTTGTCACGGACTCCCGACATGAGTACCACAGACCCCTAGGGGGCCGTGGACCACAGGTTAAGAATCGCTGTATTAGAATATTTTAAATCTCGACTTTAATAGTTTTTCCAGTTTAACAGCAAAAATAGAATAACTAATAAGTATAATATGTAATAATTTTAGAAGATATGTGTGTTTGACTGTTTATTACTACTATTACTACTTTATTGATAAATTATTTTAAACATCACGCAGATTATTCAAGAAAATAACAAATCGTTAGTAGGAAATTAACAAGTAGGTATGTGGGCGATCAACATTTATTTATATAAAAAGAAAAAGTTTGTTTCTAATTTTTATATTATACTGTGGTAGATCATATTAATATAGACGTGTTTACTTTTGTTTTGATTTAAATACGATATTTGTTGCCAGGATTAAAAGTAAAGGCAATCGATCAACGACTGTTCTGTGGCAGTTATTATTGCGTAACTTTTATATGTTTATGTATTATGTTCAATTTCTACTCCTACACGATCTCATCACAAATAAGTTACGTTACGAATGTAACTGTACATTAGTGAGATATGGGTTAACGAATGCTAAGAAGTAAAATCGTCATTCCTTGTACGTGTACATATAATAAGCGGTTTTTAATGTTGGCTTGAATGTTTTATGGAAAAAATGTTTGTGACATAATAATATAATATATAATGTAATGTCATCCCTCTACTAGTCTACTATCAAGAATTACAGTCTACAAATACTTTCATAGTTTCATGTATTTTTTTTTTTTTTTTTATTGTTAAAGATTATTATTAAATATTTATCTAAGTTTTGAAACACTTTCGAGATAATTTTAAGAAAATATTATTTTTTCGCACATACATTTAAAACTATTTAATACAATTTAGTGTATTTATGTAGAATTCCTACGTATAAGGCAGGTATGCCAAACGTGAATTAACAAAAATATTGAAAAAAAATACTGTATGAGCTACTCAAAAAACAAATATTGATGGGAAAGTACGTAGCATTATATTATTATGTATAATATGTATACCAAATAAATTTGTTTCCAACAGTGGCACAAAATTAAAATTATAATTATTAATTTGTTTGTTCTTTATTTTTATTTAATTTTCCAATAATTCTGTTGGACGCAAAATAAAAAAAAACAATAAAGAATTATGTGTTTTAAATGATTGCTCTTTGATCAATAGAGCGGACTAATGTTATATGAATGTAATTTGTCCAACTGATTGTATGAACAATGTTTTTTAAGACTAAACTCTATATAAATTGTTATACAATAATAATTTTGTGTTGTTCAAAGATCAAAATAGATTCACTATATTGTTACAAGACTTAAATTGATTCAACTTGTCGGTATATCAACCAACAGAAGAAAGTTTTGTTTACCCACTGGTAACTTATACAGCTGTTAGTCAAAGTGGCGTCAAACACCATTACTACTTATTACTTATTAGGTATATAACAAAACGACTGTTATTCCTTTGAAATAACATAACCACTAAAGCATTCATAACAAAAAATTATTAATAATAGACTCCGTTCTAATTACAGATTATAATTCCTAATACGAATAGCATATGATATCGATCATATAATATTCATGATTTATAATTATATTGGTAATCAATAACGTTGATTAAAATGTATTTTATTATATAAATAATTATTATAAATATTTCATTAGATTAGCATAATAGTAATTTATTGGTGATGTAGCTTGTTGGTAGCCAAGTAGGTGAAGTAAAACTAATTAATTTAATTTTAATTTATATGTGATCAAGCTAAAGAAAATTTAAATCGTTTTATGTAATTAAGTTTATATATGTTTTAATTTATTTTACACGTACATATTAATATTTAATACTTATAAGTTACAACACTTTAATTTTGACGTAACAAAATTGACTAAGAAAAGAAAAGGTTATTAAACTTACATTTAGGGATAAATGGGTAAATTTATATCTTTTTATATCTGAAAAAATATTTTAGACGATGGACGCCTCTGATATAATGAAAAAGTGACGTGATAATTAAGTTTGGATCGTATTTAGATTCTCACTTTTCTATTATTAACATTATATTATTTAATTTCATAAATAATTTAGAACAGCACGACAGTACGACACACGATGCGAAATAGGTATGCCGATATGTTATGTTAAAATATAACTTGAAATTTCGAAATTATTAAGAATACAAGTGACTGAATCTCCTATATTTTCATTTTAGTTATGTTAAACTAACTCAAGCTAGATTAACTAATTAATTAAATTGACGATTTAT